AAAAAAATCACTGCAAAACTGGTTTTTCGTTTGAAAATATAGGTTTTCTACAACTCTGCCAGTATTACAAAAACTGAAACTTAGGAAAATCACAGGAGGAAACTCAAAAACCACATTGATTCCCAAACATTAGCCGTCAGCAATGTAAATTCCTAAAGAGAAAACAGAAAAGACGCGAATGTTTTGCCGAAACCCATAATGAATTAGAAATAAATTGTTCGACAGTTCGGTAGTTTGCGAGAAATATTTGTACAGAAATGTTTTTGAAGCTCACTGTTCACTAAAAGAAGATGGCGGTTTTTGCTCACCGTTGGGTAAGCTAGAAAGTATGCTGAAGTTTCACAAAGCCTAATTAAAAGATTGCTAACAGTTAAAAGCTATCACGCAACAAAAAGTACAATAATATTAGAAATAAAAGTAGAAGATGAAATAAGTAGAAAAAGATAATTATTTCTAGCCATAAAGAACAAAAGATTTGCTTTCAAGACAACCTTTAGACTAACTTGCAATTACCATAGAAAATTCATTAGATATCAGCTGTCAATTTCTTTCCTCATACTTTTATTTCCTAAACTAATTCTGTCAAAATCTTTTTTTGCTAAGGCGTTGACAGTTTTAGCAGAGCAGAAGCAAAGTCACGTGAAACAATAAAGAACTCCACCAAGTCTGTTAAGGCATTTATATTTTTGTTGGAGAGGGATTTAAAAATTTGCAAAAGCTTGCAGATTACAAAGCTTTCTCAATGATGACTACCACACCTAATAAAGTTTTCTGCATTTTGCTAATGACAGTTTAAAAATAACAATGAATTGAGGCGTTCCAAGTTTACTAATGTAATCAAAAGCATCATTTTGTTTTCCCTCCATAATATTTCGACAACATTACCATGTAACTACACTTTGTTTCCAGTAACCCTACTTCCCACTCCAGGACCTCAGTATAAAAAAATAAGGTCGCGCCAGCAAAAAGTTGAGATGTAACGAGCCTTCTCAGCCATTTTTCCACATTTTCACTCCACCTCCCCAACTTTCAAACAACTAACTATTAAAAAAGACCTATTTGGAATTCTAAAGTCTATCAAAAACCCCCTTCGCAGTCCTACCACTAAAAATTTTATCCAAAAAATCTGTCTTTCAACTAAGCCATGTTTTTAAATTCTATTTAAACAAAACCCTAAAGTAACATTTTGCCTCAGAAACAAGTACCTGTTATCTCCCTGAAAATTGAACTTCAGATAGACAACAGATGTTTATAATAAATCCTATTGATGTACAGTCACAGCAT